TTTGAATTCGCCCACTTTTGCACGTAAGAAAAATTTCAAAATGAAAGCTATAAAATAATTTTCGCGTTTTGTTGGTCAGGAAATTTTACAATGAATTTGGTCCGGCTAAATTGAACAAACGCGCTACAGTGCGATGCTCATGAAAATGTTCATTTTACGGATAAACAAATTTTGTTGGTGGAGGAAGTTTTTAATAAACAAAATGTTAAGATCTTCGCTAAAACATCTCAAGAAACAACTAATACTATACCCAGGTTTTGGAGGAATCGTCGTCTTGCATTCGTTATTGTTTGGTGTGGAGTAACCCATAGATGCGTAATTTCTTGCTGTTTTACGAAAAATGATTAAAAACTGGATCATAATTTTACTAACTAAATACCCTGTTAAAGCGTAGACAGACGGCAACGTTGATCCTCATTAACAACGCAGTTGATCTGATCAAAATTGTGCCTTGACAGACTTACAGACTTACTTGACAGGCACTTATTGACATTTCCTATGAAGGTTGTTGCGTCATCCGCTGAAACTCTTTTAATTATTTATTTGTCGGAATTTCATTGTTAAGTTATGAATAATAAATTAATATTCAAACTGAAAGTGGCCTTTGCACGTTTGTATTTTAGTATCGAGAAAGATTGACAGAAATTCACTCGCTGTGTGAACAGCCATGCGTTTTCAGAAATTTTCCCTGCTATTTGCCTTTTGTAAACAAAAACCCTCTTTCGAAAGACATTTTACATGCAAGGTGTGACGCCTCATGCAACTGCTGTCCGATATTTCTAATTTTTACAGCCTTTTCGAAATATATATGGCATCGCCGCTTCAATGGAGAACGCTGGTTAAAATCTGTATTTCTGCGAAAGAGTGGTCATCGATTACTTTTTATGGTCAGAGTTAAAGCGTATTTCCTGCTAAATTTTGACACAAAAAATTGGAACACATACACATATGTATGTGCCGATATAGCCCAAAGGAGGGACTGTTTAGAGGTAAAGGAAAAAGTGATAATTTTAAATTTTATTGTTTTCTCAGAAACATTAAAAAAACATAAAATAAAAATTACATTATTATCTAAAAACTCATTGTTTAGTTTTTAAACTACATACATACATTTGCGCGAAATTATCGTATGTGGCATTTTTTTTTTCAAAATTAACCTTTTGTTGCAAATTTAGTTTGTATCCCCATTGCAGAACGTGGTAAAATATTGTAGCTGTAATCCCTATAGTTACGCCAAAAATTTACTAATTTCGTATGTTACAATGCATTTTTTTCTTGTGGGCGAAATATTATTAAAATAAAAAAATTGAAACAATTTTGAAAACTAGACAAAAAACGCTTTCCTGTAAAATTTGGTTTCTGGCACATACGATTATTTCGCGCTAAGAGGTCGATATTTATCCAAATTATAACAGGACTTATGGCAGGACCAAGTACATACAAACATGCATGCATGCATAAATTGTTGACACCACAGACACTTTTTCATTTCTGCGATTCACGCATGTGTTGGTAAAAAAAACAAATATACTGAAAAAAATAAAATAAAAACCATTTTTTTTTTGTAATTATAATATATATTTGTATTTGTTTTATTAATGTTTGAATTATTTTTTGCATTTTCATGCTTGCACCACTTGTGTAGAAAAAAAAAAAACAAAAACATATAGTACAATACAATAAAACATATAAATTTTCAACAAAATTTCGGAAAATAAAAACATTTTAGTGAAGGTCATATATACACATTAAAAATTTTAAACTTTTACGAACAATACATTGATTTAATCAAATAAGAAACATTTGCAATTTTCACATTCAAATGACTTTAAGGACTTTCAAAATCGAATTAAAGTATTTTTAGCAATAGATAAAATATGAAAAAAATAAAAGAAACACATATAAACTGACATTAAATGGCTGTGCGAATATCTTAGAATAATAAATTTACAATGAAGACTATAAACTAATTTTCAATTGATTCTTAATTACACTGGTCCATCGATATGCTAAAGTCAGCTTTGGGCAAAATGCTAAACATTTAAAAGCCTTCCACTGCACTTAAATAACTAAACTTAGAAACTAATTTAATTATAAATTTAGTTTGTGGTATTTCCACGTAAAAATGTATCTATATATGTATGTATATGTATGCTTGTATTTGGCAAATACGCTACACGAAAGATCTAAGAACATAAAATACAATTATTTTGGACGTTTCTTTTTCGAATACAGGACAATTACAAATAAATAAATTAGTTAATAAATTTAGTAAGTTGAGTTAATGTGTTTAGATTTTCGGAGCACTTATTCTATAATAATACTAAGTTTTATACAAATAAAAACAAGTATAATTTAAAAGATAAAATTAGCTAAACAATGAGGCGATTTTTCTTTTCTTTTATTTTGTTAATTAATTTATGTATGTAACATTAGTTCAACCTTTTGGTTCTGTTTAAACATTTTGTTAAGTTGAAATTTAAAATTAAAATTAATTAATATTACAAATGAGATCACAGTATTAGAGATATAAGTTAATTTAAGTTATTCTTTGCGCTAAATCTGCTGAATTTTTACTAATTTTCTTGTTGTTTTTCCTGTAAATGAATAAAATTTTTTTCCAAATTGCACGCATTGCATTAGCATTAATATAGTAGTGTGTTTTTTTTTCTTTCTTTCTTTTAAACAAATCATGTACTGGTTATTTGTTAGTCTTTCACTGGTTATTTTAATTGTAAATGGTAATTTTTGTGTTTTTGTATGCCAAAAATGTTAGATGTCCAAAAGTTTCCGTTATGTATCGTATGGTTAGTTGAAATTCATTAGCGTTGCACCTTGACATTGTCCGTTATTGTATTGCGCTGACTAATTTTTATTTTATATCCTTTAAATTTTACTTTATCTTTGTAAATTTAAACTAAATAATAGCTTTAGCGTAATTTCCATTTTTATAAATAATCTAAACTATGGTGAATGTCTTGTTCTTAAGCTTGTTTTATTTTGTTTTTGTGTTTTTCGTATTGAACAGCAAAATTTGATAGCAACGGTTTCGGTTTGTTCAACTTTTTAAGTCAACAATATAACAACCTATGAAAGATTTCTGTACTAAATAGTACTTGTTTTTTTTTGTTGTTATTCTATTTAAATTTTAGCCATTTATTGTTTGAATTCTAGTCTGTTTATAACTATTTGTATATTTGTTTAATTTGACATATCTAATGTAAGTATTATTTTTTGTTATACATACTTGTATTTTATTTTTGTGTGCTCAAATCATCATCGAGTATTTTCCGTGCATGCGATTCTGTGGTGAGGACATTCTAAATTGTTTGCTCGTAATATTTTTTTTAAAAGATTTTTGCCTCTTCGTAGCGGGTGTAAGGAGAGAGATGGCGAATAATAATTTGGCATTTGACTGCTGACATCGACAAACTAAAACAAAATTGGAATAGGATGCGAAACGCTTTAAAAAATTTAAAATTTTATACAGTTTCATAAGGTGATGAGTGATTTGTAAAAGTGGAAGTTTTTTGCAAAATTAAAAAATTAAACGACGCCAAAATACCATAGAAATTTTAAAGGTTTCAGTGTAAAGTTTCACTTCATTCGACCTGGCGCTCTCTAGTTGTAAAGCTATGTATGGCTACATTTATGAGCACTGGCTCAATACTAAACGTTGGATCATTGTTGCTCGATAATAATTAAAAAGAACTAGTACATAAAACAAAATCAAAAGTCATTTTGTTAAAAGTCCAGGGTGTACGGTTTTCGCAAGTACATATCATTGAATACCCCCATACATATGTGTATAGCTATCTAAAAGTGCCCTTGCCACTACACAAAACTCCATTCATACATACATATGGGCGACAATTGTGCCATTAAACTTAATGACAATTTATGACACGAAGCACAGTAAAGTACAAAGAAATATTGTTAAACCCATTTTGAAAAGAGCAACATTAAAAAGAGTAAATAAAATAAATAGATATGTATGTACATATATATGTATTAGCCCTCGGACCAATAGCAAATTAACCCGTTTTGCCGGCATTGTGTTCGAATAAATACACAAATATTTATGGAAGTGTGCGTATAGTACAAACTAACTGGCTGGTTTGGCTGCAATTAATTGCCTACTGAAGCAAATAAGAGTGTTGTTACCTTTATGAGTTATTGACTATAAAAACATATAACCAAAAATGTTAACCAGTCCAAAGTAGTTGTAAATTGACGTCGAAGTAAGCGACAGGATTGATTTCAAAACATAAAGATTTACTACTTGCCCACATCCTAAGGCGTAAGATCTTCGTCAATTGGGTTAGTCAACTGTCAACTGCCAACTCACTCCACAATTTCCCCTTTAATACTTCCGCTTGCCAACACTTTGACTTAGCGCTTATGTATGTTATGTATATATTTACATTTAAATCATTTACTGCGTAAGAAATACTATTACCATTTCCTGATTACTACCACCCGAAGCATGAGTATTCAGGCTGCGCAATATGGCAACTGGTATATTGCCAGCTTGTTCACTTTCACCGGCACCCTGAGACAACGGCCTAGTAGTATTGAAAGCTCCGCCTTTTGTATTCATTGACGGCGATGTATTGGTCGCCGCTTCAACGGTGTCGCCAACGTATCGGCCGGCATCCGGCTCACATTCCCTGCGTCCGCTCAGTTCAATATCGAAGTCTGACTCGGTTTCATACACTTCCATTTGGTAGTTTTCATCAGCCAACGCTCCGGCGTCATCTTCGGTCAGTTCTCTCTCGTCGGGTGTTTCAACAAAATCGCCCAGAATGTCTGTGGGGAAGGGAAAAGCTGTTGTTAGTTCGCCACGTTTTCCTCGCAACGAGAGCTCCGCCGTGGGCATCATATCTAGTGGCGTATTGGGTGAGAATCGCGATGAAAGCTCCGTGTGCCAGTCCTGCATCATCAGTGGTGGTGTTGTCGTTGGTGGCGGGGTGAGTTGTAAGAAGGAATCATTCGATGATGAGTTACTTTCGGCCTACAAGCTAGTGGCACTGCTCGTCACAATGGGTAGGTCACCGGAATGGAGCATGTGGTGGGCTGTGTGGTGGTGATGATGTTGTTGTTGCTGCGCAGCTGCCGCTGCAGCTGCTGCAACGGCCTGTTGTTGCTGCTGTTGTTGGCTCAGCTTGGATTCCTTCTTTATGCGTTGCTTGAGATGTACTTTTGCGTGGCGCTTTTTCTCGTCGGAGCGTGCAAATTTTCGTCCGCATATGTCACAAGAAAAGGGTTTTTCGCCGGTGTGTGTCCGAATGTGCGTTGTTAGGTGGTCCGAACGACTGAAGGAACGCATACAAATGCGACACTGGAATGGCTTCTGGCCTGTGTGAATTCGAATGTGGCGGGTAAGCTCATCAGAACGGGAAAAACGTCGATCACAGTTTTCAACTGGGCAGGCGTAGGGGCGCTCGTGCACAGGCGTTTTACTCGGCCTATTTGGGTACTTTCGCGGCTTAACCGGAACCAATTTTAGCGGCATGGTGCTTTGTTGATATACTTGCGAGAGAATTTCGTGGCCCTTGCTTGTTGACGGGCTGTATTCGGCCAATTGCACGACAGAGTAGCCAGACTGACTGCCTTGCTGCGTCGGTGGCTGTATATGATGTGGTGGCGTTGGATCCGAGTAGGCTTCTTGTTTTGGGATGATACCACCAACGACGGCCGCTGCCGACGCCGATGTGGAGGATGAAGGACCTGGTACAACCAGTGATTGTTGCGCGCCCCCATACTCGGCGGGCGAGTCCAGCCATTGGTATTTGGTTGGGCCGACGGACATTTGCTGGCGATACTGATGCAGTTCGTGATTGGCTTGCGCCTGTTGCATATCTGCGAGGCTGGTAAAGCTGCTGGTGCTACTGTAGCTTGGAGGCGGCTGTTTCAGTATAATCGGCGAGCAGTCCATGTTGAGGCCGATCAGCTCGACATGTTGCGCTGCTGAGCGACCATCGTCGTAACCGGCATGCATATGATGTGAAGGTGAGGGCGTCGACGATGGCTGCGTCACGGTTTGTTGGGCGGCATAATGAGCCTGAGCGGTGCTTTGCGGGCCAGGACCGAGTAAGCTAAATATGGGTGGCTGGAAGAGAGTCTTATCGGGACTTGGTAAACCCCAACTGTTGCCAAGACCAGCCGACGGCGGTGACATTTGGCCAGGTAGCACGCTCATCTGGGGCGAGCCGAGCTGTTGCTGCTGTTGTTGTTGCTGCTGCTGCTGATGGTGAGTAGCTGCAGCGGCGGCAGCGGCCGCAGAATTTAGGCCGCTCATCGCTGTATTACCTGTAGTGGTGAAAATGCCACGATATGATATTTTGCCGCTATTGCTATTTGCATGCGTCTGTTGTTGTTGTTGTTGCTGCTGTTGTAGTTGGTGGTGTTGCGCATGCTGTTGTTGTTGTTGTTGTTGTTGTTGTTGTTGTTGGTGATGGTGGTGGGCGTGTTGTTGATGAAGGCTATGAGGCGAATGCTGGTAGTGTGGATGCTGTTGGTGGTGGTGTGTATGATGACTGTTGTGTTGTAGATGTTGTTGTTGTTGATGTAAGGCATTGTGGTGAGATATTTGGTTTTGTTGCAAATGCTGTTGTTGCTGCTGATGCGGGTATTGGTGTGGTGAATTATGTCCGCTATGGTGTTGTTGATGATGCTGCGTATGTTGTTGTTGTTGTTGGTGGTGATGATGTTGTGATTGATGGTGTTGTTGTTGTGTATTGCTTTGTGTACTTGTATTTGTAGTATTATTACATAATGTTGTGCTTGTTGCTGTTGTTGTTGCTGTTGTCTGATTCTGACTTAGATGTGTAGGGTACATGGTACAACTATTATTACTTGTTTCTTCCTTGACAATTGTCAACGTTGGCGGCGTGCTGCGCTCTTCCTTCAGTGGACTGCACAGCACAGGACTGGTCGTCGGCTGGGGTTCGAGGGACAAGTCCTCGGACTCGATGGATCCTGGAAAACGAGTAGAAAAGCCAAACATTTTTATTAGACAGAATTGTTGGAAAGAGTTAAATAAAAAAAATGAAACAAATAGTTTTTATTATTGCTAATAATCTCTTATAATTTTAAAGTCGTTGAGCCTTTCATTCGTACTTATATGGAAGTACGTATATGTATATGTGTGTATGTATGTACATTATATGTAAGTATGTATGTTCATGCATATGTGCTTAGCTTCAGCTTAATGTTTTTAGAATAATTTTTCAGTGCACATCCTTTGCTTAGCCTCTTCTCCTACACCCTATCGACTCCAAAAAGGTCTCATCTTACATATACCATCCAGCTGGCCGCTATCAATTAATTTCGCTCAATTGCAAACCAAAGTATCATTCAGCTTCAACAAAAAGATGACCATTGCAGCAAAGTGATTTCCGCGAATGCCGCCCAGTAGCTGCCGTCGGAACTTCGTTCGACGAACTTGACTGCTTGAATTGACAAAAATCAAAACGCCAAAGGCAAGAGCCAAGTGGCAGCCAGCCAGTCAGCTGGACTCTCTTCGATTCGTATGAAATCCACACGGGAGGTCGGTCGGCAGCAGTAACAGCAAAATCTTGAGTTGCAACAAAAGAAGAACGTAAAAAGCGTAAAGCCATTGCAAGGCGATAAAACAGTGATACCAACACCAACAGTATGATTGGTGGCAACAATAATGTAGAAGCGGCAGCAATAGCATGAGCCCTACCGAACTGCCGCAAAAAAGCGCGAATATAACACAACTTTGGTGTGCAAAGAAGACTAATTACATTCCGAACAGCGGTCTGTTATTTGTTTGTATTTCAGTTTTTTTATTTTCACATATTTTTTGTGGCGCTGCACAGTCTGTTTCAATGTGTGCGGCGGCAGAATTTCTTGGATACGAATTGATTGAGTTGCAATACGCTTTTAATGCGATGTGACATCAATCCTGCGATTGCATTGCAGTCGAAGTGAATAAAAACATTACTACGAGCACTACTGTATAAACGTGCGAACACTTGTTCGAGCGAGTGTAAAAGAAATCGCATATGTATGTACCCTGCAGTAAATCGCGATAGTTCAGAACTAGCGCAGAACTAGCTCTTTAAGAGGCAGCACTGGTTCTCGGTCTATCCCAAAGGAATACTTAAACTGTCTCTTTTTACATGGCGATGCCCTACGAAGTGGAAATTGGCACCTCTGCAGAACTTTCGAACTAGTTCTGAACTGGTTCCATTTTCGACAGTTCTGGGTCAATAAATCTTTATGAGAAAAAATTTTAAAACTAAATTATTGCATATTTTTTTCATTTCTGAACTGTTTCCATTTTGGACAGATCTGTGAAAATAAGTTTTTTATGAAAAAAATTTTGTTTATTCGATTTTTTTTCTGTTCTTTTACAGATTGCATTTTGTTTAATTTTTTTATTATTCTATTTTATTTATATTGAATTTGATCCTTCAATTTTTAAACGGCACTCAACAGTCTAAATTTGTATTAAATCTGAAAACCACAGCTGCCTCCACCGCGATTTGAACTCGCGACCAACGAAGTTAGAGTCGGAGGGCTTCCTGCTGACCTATTTTAGTATTGTATGAGAAGTGAGAATTTGTGCATTTACTTCTCAACAGAGCGCAACTACCACACCAATAGTTTTAAGTGTCCCTCTCTACAGCCGTTTTGCACTAGAACTAGCGCTTTAACAGACTGTCTCTAAATTTTACTGCAGGGTATGTGCACACATATGTACGTATCTATTGATGAATTAAGTAGTCAACGCAGCATCTTCTTTCCCTGCGAAGTAAAGAATTCAGGGAATGGTTTTTTTTTTATTTTTTAGCCTCTTATTTCATTACTTGTTTACATTACTTTTATACTATTGTTTTTATTTATATTTGTGGTTCACATGCTGTTGTTTGGTGTCCAGTTCTGTTTTAATTTGTGTGGTTTAGGATTCCTTGTTGCTGGCTTTGGAGCTCGATATGTAAATACTTACAATCAGTCTTTAATTTGCTCGTTGGGAAGGCGATTTTTAGAAATATTTGGCGAATTCCCACCTGCCTGGTTATCAGGTTAGCTGGTTATGTGGCTTTAATTTTTACTCAGTTTATAACAACAAAATAAAATAAAGAATAATAACTTTTGACCAAATAACCTGATAAGCAGGCAGGTGTGACTACCCAAATTGTTGATTTGGATATAGGTAAATATTTGTTAGATTGCTTTAAGCTAGATTTATGGATAAAGACCGGCTCGAAGAGGTGCGGTTTGGCACGTTCCCGTGCGAAATATGGTATTTAGTACTGCGCCGGTATATGGAGCATTAAAAAATACACGTTATTGAAGTACAGTAAATGTGTGCATACCGTATATGAGCCATTANTTAAGCTAGATTTATGGATAAAGACCGGCTCGAAGAGGTGCGGTTTGGCACGTTCCCGTGCGAAATATGGTATTTAGTACTGCGCCGGTATATGGAGCATTAAAAAATACACGTTATTGAAGTACAGTAAATGTGTGCATACCGTATATGAGCCATTATTTTTTAAGTCGGACGGATTTCGTAAAAAAATTATGTCATGTCTCCGATTCGCTTCAAATATTTTTGTCGGTTCTATATATGAAATAAGCGAACACGTGTTCGAGGAATTTTTTTCTTCTTTTTTCTTCGGAGATATGTTGATTTGAAGGAGTAAATGATTTGTCAGAACCACGAAAAAATGCAAACTTTGGCGGATCATATCTCCAAAGAAAAAGCGAAAACAAGTTCCTCGAACACGTGTTAGCTTATTTCATGAATAGAACCCAAAAAAAAAAGATTTGAAGCCAATCGAAAGTGTGACACCAAATTTGGTGTCCGATATGAAAAAGAATGTCTCATATACGAAATTTTCCACGTGGCACTGTCCACACCTCTTATGTGTAGAAAGTTTTATAGCAGACTTACACCCGTATTCTTACAGAATAACAAACCTTAGTTCATCGCTGCTGTGATTTCTATCGAGCCTCAAAGTTTTCCCCTGCAACCAATATGCCGGTACAACAAACTTTTAAGTTGTTGTGTCTTTTTCTAGCTTTTAAAATCGAAGTTTTGTGGCACATTTTGAGGCGCATTAGAAATCACAACACTGATGAACTAAGTTTTATGACTCTGTTAGAATAGAGGCGTTAGTGTCTCCAACTAAAGAAATTGACAAATAATGTTTGGCTTCATAATAGGGACTTATTGGGAAAACTTTATTTTTATAAAGTAATTCGCCCTCTGATACAGGAAAGACTCAAAGTGAAAGCACCGCTGCATCCGTTAAGTGAAATACATAATGATTTGGTTTCTTTAGCCTATATACATAAATACATAAGTAGCTACGTTATTTGAGTTTATATTTCTCTGAATACCAGATCACACAGGATTACCTGATAATCAAATATCTGACCATTTGGCTAGGTGTCACTCAGATCTCGACGAGAGACTGCATGCAGGCAAAAATCATGTTATCTCCAATCTCAAAAGGTCTAAATAGATACTGGCCCTTAGTGAGTTGCCGACTGGCCTCTTTTTTTCACATTCTCGAAGTGGTGTAAGGACTGTTTGATTAAAAAAAGTTTTAAATGACTGACTATTTTAATACTTTTACTGACAATGTTATCACAAATTAGTCATACAAGCGCATTCAGAAAGCTGTGCGAGGTATGTATGCGCTGGTTTTGCGCAAAGTTATCAAAAGTCGAGTACCCTTACGAGCATGTACGTGCAATAAACAAACGACAAATTCTCAAAATACACCCAAAACCTCACAGGCTTTTGAATGAAGCGGGCTGATTCACTGCCTAGCAGTTATCTTGGGAAACTACCAGCTTGTGAGAACGCATAGTGACAATAATTTTTTCGCAGCACTTCTTTTACGATACAAAACCAAAGTCCATCGCAAATGTTCGCGCGCCAGAAGTTCAAACTTCCGATTTATTGCTAACCAAGAAGTCTCAATGCCACCCTTCGGAAATCTCTTCCTTTCGCAGATAGTACAGTCTTCGTATAATTGCAAATTACAAACAAGCATATGCAGATATTTAGTATAAATGTTTCGCGCTGCAAATAAATTATTATAAATTGCCAACATTTTATGGCTTATTTTCGGCTAATAAATGTATTCTTTAGTCGCTGAGTTCATTGTGTCCAGTCGAGTGAATGTGTATTACTTTATTGTTCTTAATGCACTTGGAAATTTGCTGGGGAATTTGCCAGCAAAAAATGACATGAAAAATGCGTTTAGCGTTGCCAAGTTTAGCGATTAAAAGCGACTTCATCATTGTCCCCAAAACAAAAAAAGAAAAAAGAAAAATATTTTTGAATCTGAGTGAAATATTTGCAATTTCTAAGACAGAAAAGCACAAGAAGTAATGGAGCAAGAAGACATGGAAATTGGCTAGTAGCTAAGTGCATAGCAAAACAAAAATTCAAAAACCAAAAATAAAATAAATAATACCAGCACAGTGATGGGCATTTAAATGAGACAAACAGTGGGGCATTTATGTGGAGTGAATTGTAGGGATACATATTTACAGTTATCCACAAAATAATATGCGTGCAATATTTTGACCTGTTTTGACAATTTTTCCTGTTTTTGTTGAATGTTTATTAGTTTTTTACAAAAGCATATCTAAAAATAAGTATACAAATTCAAATGTCAAACTTTGTGCAAAAATTTTAAATATTCAACAAACTTTCACCAAAATTTAAAATTTTTATTCAGAGTGTGTAGAAAAATTTTAAGATGCAGTTTATAGGCAACTAAATTATAGTAGAATGTTGTGCAAATTTAAAGTTGCTGCTACATACCACTGATTTGTGGAAAATTTTTTGTTGGCGGTGTCACGCATTTTCTTCCATACAAAGTATGCTCGTCAGTTTTTTTTTTATGTGGAAAACAAACAAATTTCTAAAAATTAAAACGATTTTTTAGCATTTGAAACTTGCAATTTATTATACAAAAATTTAATGGCCTATACCTAAAATTTTTCCGAAAATTCTGAATAAAAAGTTTTAAATTTTGGTGTAAAATTTGTAATTTTTTTATAGTTTTCCACAAAGTTTAAAATTTGGATTTATGTGGGTTTTGTTGGACAATGAAGTAAATCTTTATAAAAAAATTGTAAACATTAACAAATAAAAGAAAAATAGTCAAAACTGTTTCAAATATCGCACTCCTATTATTTTGTGGACAATTGTATGTACATTTGTATATACTACTATATATCTTGTGGCGATACATGTAGGTATGTATGTACATGGCTGTATTTATGTTTCCTTGAATATATGTATGTTCATATTTTAAATTTTTTGCTTTAAAACTTTCTCAAAACACAATACATACGAGTACTTATAACATTTCCAAATTGCGTGGGGGACACCAAAGTTTTCGTTGCTTTGTTTTATTGGTTTTGTTATTGTGACCATTGGTGTTGCTACTGCTGCTGATTTTCGAAATTAAATGTTGTGTAAAATTTATGATGACAGCAACTTTTTATGTGTTCATAGCTAATAAAAATTTTTTGTTTGACTTTTTTTAGGGGTGCTACACATTGTACGATTTTGTAATGAAAACTGTTTTTATTTTTACGCACAAATATACATATACTATAGATCATAAAAATTAAAATTTATAAATATTTAGTAATTAATTGATGCTGAAATGACATTTAACGGTAACTGATTTAAAAAGGATGTGCTCTGAAACTGAAAAAAACAACGGCTGGGCGAAAATAACTGTAAAACAGAATTGTTTTTATATTATCGTTCATATAATTTTTTCATTTTTTATGTTTCGTTAACTACATCTCGCGAAGGCGAAAAGGTAGTTTTAAAACAAGTATGTAGTATTTTTAAAGAATTTGAACAATTGCTTAAGTTTGCTTTATTCCAAAAGCAGAATAATCTAATTTGCATTTTAATTATGTTTAACAAAACTTGTCAACCGCAATCAAACGCCACTTCCTGCCACTTTACATAAGCTCCATTAATAGTGTTTGTTGTTTCGTGAGCATAATCTAGGAAATGCATACAAAAGTTTGTTTCAAAAAACCTTGCACTCCTAATGAAAGACCTCCCTCACCTCCTTCATCATTGGTTCTCATTTGAGTGCGGAGGGAATGTGATAAAATTTGTATTTCCTTTCTCAAATTACTGCATCAATTAAATTCAATTTGCTGCTCTTTTTACATAGTTGCTTGTCTCTGCGTTTGCGCTTATAAATACTACATTGTTTTATATCAAAATGCAAAAAAAGTGTATGTAACTAAAATTAATATGAACGAGGATTCTGGGAGAGGGGAAGACGACATAGATACATACATATATACTTCTGCTTTACTACCAAAGACATTTCTTAATTCAATTATGGAGCAAATTGAGTTTTTTTCTCGTTCAACATCATTACTCGCACGAGATCTGCTCTAAAAGTTTGTGTGCCTCAGAACGCCTGTGGAAGCATTGACACTGAACGGAAATGTTTAATAGTACATACGACACGATTAATTAAGTAATACCGTTGCAACTATGATACCACTGATAAAAACAGTAAAGAGCATTATTTAAGGGATAATGTGTAATTGCTCTTATATATTTATTTGCATATACGTATGGATGTAGGTACGTAAAAATATGCAGCTGATGGCTACATACACGCACTTACGTAAGTAGCAAGTACAAATCAAATAAAGCGGCTTCTCATAAATGCGGAAAAACGGGCCTAGTTCTCTTTATTGGGAGATATAATACTGCGGGCTGGCTTACTCTCTCCATGAATGCAAAAAGATACTGGCCTGCACCCGGAGCCAAACGTTTTCCCTCTCCTAATTGACCTTGAAATCAATCGTTTGGCCGATATTGGTGAGCATCAATGAAAAAAAAAGACTTCCTCGGAGTAGAGAGTGTGCTTTGGATTAAACCTATTTAAAACTACTCTTTCTGTATATGGTTTAGTTGGCAGCCTTATCATAGTGAGTCTCACTTCGATAGAAGGCTGGTAATCGGAGTACCAACAGGACATCGTTCGTTGGCATCTAATGCCTTTAAGTTAGGAAAAACTTATCACAATCTGTTTGGGATGCGGACAAATGGGGAGGCTAGGGAACACATACACCCACCAGAATAAGTCTCCGTACAGGTGTTTTTTAGTAATATTTGCAATGTTTTTCATAATTATTTTTTTGGTACATATTTTGTAGAATCATTCTTCTTCAAATGGCATAAAGATTAATGTTTCAAATATTTTAAGAAGTTTAGGAAAATTCGACAAAGTTTTCCACTTTTAAACAAAATTTTTTAGAATTTTTTTAAGTACTCAGTTTTGTAGTTCACTTAATTCAACGTAATTAAATCAGAAAATTAAATAAGTAATTTTTTTTTTTTGCAAACAGATGATAAAAAGTCATTTTTTTAAATTGGGACAAATGTAGGTTCTCACTTATAGTTTTGTTTTCCATTTAAAAATTTTCTTCAATTATTCGAACTTTACAAAAAAAAAGCACTTGAAAACAACGCAAACAACGTGTCAATAACGTTTTGAAAGTATAACTTTGTTTGATTGCTGTCCAGCGGTGTTTTTTATTTTACAAAAACAAAGTGAAGTTCCTGTTATCTTGGAGTATTCCCTACAGAATGGCAACAAAAAATAATGTAAACTGTGTTTACGAAATTGGACTTCCGCACAGCCAAATGAATCACTTGACCTAATATGCATTGCTAGGCTTTGTCACCTGGGAGTCGGTCTTCTACGGTTTCTGTAGGCAGACGGCAGAATGGGGGCACAGTAAGTGGCTAGCGTTATTTGCACTGTCATCCTAAGGTGTGATTTATATTTTGTCGAGCTAACACATATGTACACTTGTAATATTTAATAGTCCTGGCAGAAATCATAGAGGAGAGTATGTATCATGTATGTAATTTACTGTTTCCCAACGGCATTCTCCCTCAAAAATTTCGATTCGCAGATGTTGCCAAACGCTGGTTGTTTAGACGCGTCTGCTAACACCAGGCGCCTAAATACATGCTATGTACTGCTGCATGTGCGAAAATTTCCTTTATGCAATTTATGAAATTTTTGCACATGCACTTCTCAAATGCCATGTAATTGAACTGTCTTAAGTTTTGATTAGATGGCACTTCAAAGCATGCTCGGCCTAGTCTGATGTATGCTCCGGACACTGATTCCGGAGCATTTTGCGGACTCTGAATGGCTAACAACCGTGCAGAGGTGGTAAACGAACTTTACCATTGGCCACAGTGCCTACTCACCATTTTTCACCCAACAAATTTTTTTTTTTTATAAATTAAATACATGCAAGCATACTGGTCTCCCCTCTCTCTGAGTTATTCACCGGTTCTAAATCAGCGGAAACGTACTCATATACGACAATTTCGCGCAAAGGGGTCGATATGTGCATACATATCTAGTCAACAAATCCAATGCCTGAATTTAATAAAAAAATACTTTTCATAGCTGCAAAGTCGACAGACATTTCGGACATCAAGATCACTCGTAAGCAGACAAATCACCCAATAATGCCGGAATAAATACCCGCAAATGTTGTAAAATGTAGTTATTGATTTTTCTGAAAAAAAAAACAATTGTGCTTGTAAAAAGTCTTGCTACATTGTGATTATTGTTTTAACAATACACGAACATTTATGAAATGAAAACATGAAAAAATGTTTTTACAAGAGCTTAAGTGCTCTTAACACAACACTCGATGGTCCGAAGTGTCTTTTCAGCGTTGCGCCAAAAATGTTGTGGAAAAGGGAAACAAAAATAATATAAAAGTGAGAGGGTAAAGAAATTGAAAAACAAGAAAAAAAATAAGATAAGAATAAGACAAAAAAGTAAACACATGAAAGCAAAATTTAAGGCATGATCATTAATTAAAAAATGTTATTTTTAAATCGCTGTAGCAGAAAAATGCTGCGGTTTTCCACCAGCATATTAGCAAGTCTTATGAAGCGTGTATACTCATTTTTTTGGCAGTTGCATGCTGAATTCAATTGTCATACCCTGTTGCTATCCATGTTTTGAAATTCGAAGGTATCTACTCAGGTTGCGTATTAAGGATTTATTGGAACTAAAATTATGAAGGTATTTATAAAAATAGGAGTACATTTGAACGATTTTCTGGACAGAGGAGATTTCTATTTACTAGGCTTTTGCATCTACTTTAGAAGCTACGATGATGCAAACCATTTATTTGACTTGGCTACGTAATGTTTTGAACTTCATAAACAATTTAATCGTACTTTCGAGTGCATTATTTTACGCTTTTCGCTTTGACAGGAGTCACCGGTTAAGCCAAAACATACATCAATGTATATGTTCATACTCACTAAGTATTCAATACCAATTTAACAATGAGTACTTTTCATAACGCTACATATATATGTAGATTCTTACCTGTAATTGGTGGCGGCTCAACAATGGTTGATGGTCCGAAGAATGATGGAATATCGTTGGAGGTGGTGACGGGCGTGTTCAAATCGCCCGTCTGCGTGTCACCGCACTGCGCGTCCGACGGCAACGATTCCGAATGTTTGACGCTGTTCGCGATATCCAAGCCGCTGGTGGCGCCCACGTCGCCAAGACTAGCTGACGCGTGGCTTCCTGGACGCTGCTGTGCAGTATTCAGTAGACTTAAGTGTGTGGCGGAATTGCGTCCACTACTATTGTGGTTGTTGTTGGCAGCTGCACTGTTGCCACCTGAACTTACTGCAGCGACGGTTGGTGTAGTTAGGGCAACACTGCCGCTGGCGATTGCTGCGCTAGATTGTTGCGCACTGGATGCGTTTATACAGGCGTTGCTACTGTTGCTGCTATTGTTGGTGGAACCACTGATGCGTGCGAAATTTGTGCGTGAAATGGCAGCGCTAAGCGCTGAATTGGTTACTGCTGCAGCAGGTGTTGTGATATTATTGTTGGCTGGGCTGGTGCCGCTGGTGGTACTACACGGTATGGCGCTCTGGTGATTGCTATTCGCCGTGGACAGATTGTAGTGGAGTAATGTTTGGGCGGTGCCCAAATGGCCACCACCAAAAGTGTGCGATGGGCTGCTGAGATAAGTGGCCGCCGAAGTGGCCGCTGTCGACGGACTAGTCTGCGCGGTAGTCTTGAAGAGACACGTATCGAAGCTCAGCACATTGAAGTGTGCGGCGGCGGCGGATTCGGTAAGTAGGAATGCGTGATGCGATGGCGCCACCAGGGTTTCAAGCCCTTCCATGATCATGGCCGCTGATGGGGTTCCAGGGGCTACGCCACCTATAAGAAGATGGAAGGGAAAAAGAAAAAGTCATTAGCTTAATTGAAGAATTTATGAATTCAGATGGTATTTCTTAAGCGAGTAATGCAACATGCTTAAATATAATTTGTGGGTATATAATTGGTACCTAAATAAAGTCTGAAGAAAATATACTGGCAAAAAATTTCATGAAAATATGTATCAAAACAGAATACTTCATACTATTAATTTTTAAATTTGCTTAGCTTTGACTAAAATTACTAAGTTGAATGTAGCACAGATGAGGCTTCCAGCTGCATTTACCTGGCTGATACTTATTAAAATTGTTACTTTGTGATTTTTAGAAACTTTACTAAATCGTTTTCTACCACAACTAGGTTTCCGGTACCACGTTCAGAGCAAAATAAAATTCTCATCCACATACATATATAGTGCGTGATATAATGATAAGGTCATACACATAATGATAGGTTTCGCCTATTTTTCATTTGTTTGTTTAATGTTTATTAATTTTTTATAAAAGTTATCTAACATAAGCCCAAATTTCAACTTTGTGGAAAAATTACAAAAAAAATATCAAAATCAGCTCAATTTCTTACATTTTTATTCTGATTTTTTTTTACAATATGCGTATTGCAGTTTACTGCTCAGTTCGTTTCCTATATATAGAGTTGATTTTTTTACCGTTGATTTTTGGAAACCTTTTTTGACGGTGTTGCGCATTTTCTTCCACTAGTCGTCGATATTCGAACACTTCACTTTTTACACACTTTTTCATTTTGCTTGTTAGCAATATAGAGACAATAATGCTTCATGTTGATGATTTAAAAGTCGATTAGCATGTCAAAATATATATAATAATCTATGCCCCGCCTATCTTACTAACGTTGTTACATTGATATACATCCTGTTAAATGATATAATAATTCTAAGCTAATCTATCTAATGTTTTATATCCAATTGATATACATGCTCTTAAATAATATAGTAATTCTAAGCTAACCTATCTAATTTATAATATCCACGCTAAAGAGCACCATATGTACATATGTGAATTCGTTGTGAAATAAAATCATAGCATTTCGCATGAACGTGAATTTGAAATAACTCGAATATGTTGCTCATTTCTGGCAGATTTCTTTTTCTTAAGCAGCGAATATAGATTCTGAGTTTGAAGCAAATGGGGCCATAAATGCTCGACCCATGCGCCACCTTTCACAAAAATTAAAGCTGTGTGCACTCCTCCTTCTAAACACCTTTCCAACAAAGCACAACCATTCGAATCGGTTAAGAAACATAGGAGAAAATTGTTCCCAATTGATTCTGGCGTGCCTATTTATATTTTCTTCCATATAAACTAAAATGTGAGAATTAGTTATGCGGAAGAAAGTGTGCAACACCGTCAATTAAAAAAAAAAAACACTTCCGAAAAGCGATGGGNAATTAGTTATGCGGAAGAAAGTGTGCAACACCGTCAATTAAAAAAAAAAACACTTCCGAAAAGCGATGGTGGTTTTTAGCCACATCAAACTGGAATGGGCTATGAAACTGATGTCCTAAAATTTTCTAAAGATTCTAAAAGTTTATGCGAAGATGTGCGAAGTTATGCGAAGTATGCATAATCAGACCATAAATGAAAAGTGTGAAACTTTGTAGTTTTTTTTTAATTTTTGGTACAAAGTTTAAAACTTGGTTTTATTAGTTAAAATTATTTGAAAGAAAAAAAACGAGTAGTTAAAATTTAAAGTTTGTACTCTAACTATTAGCCGCACGTTAGAAAGAGTTCCTGTTGATTGAAGCTTCCAATAGCATAGAGCTTCGCCACCTCTTATCCCTCGTTTTTATGTATGTATGTATGTCAACAAATGTCAAAATCTTACGCACTGACGTTAATTGAATTGCTATGACAGCAATTAGATTCATAAGGCCCAGGCCCAAGAATGAGGCGTCCGACATAAAAACGAGCAATTACAATTTATTTTAATTTTTTTATAGATAACATTCATTCTAGAATTCAATCAAGAAAGCGAAAGCAGCAACTCATTCATTTACTCCATCACTCATTCACAATTTTATTTGGTTATTTACGATAGTAACAGCAATAGCAACAATAGCTAATAGTATTAGACATCAAATATACGCAGAAATTAACGATCTGACATCTGTGCACCCACACAGAATACCCATGTACATACATATGTATGCACAAACATACATACGACATTTGCAAATTAATAATAAACGTATTTAGTGCTCTCACACTCCATCCAGCCATCAATCGATCGCATTGACATCTCGGAGTTGAGCAAGCGCCCGAGACGTGTCACCGTCAACAGTGGTCATAGTTGGCAGATGTTGTTTACAATTAAATTGAAATCGATTAAGCACTTAACCAGCCAATGCTGGACCAAAGAAGTAATCAACTAACCGCAGAATTAGAGGAAGAAGAAGAACTTGTAGGAAACGATTTGAAGGAAAAGGCGAAGGAGGAGCATGCAGGCAGTTCACGTTCCAGTTCCCACAATGCTTTATGTATGCAGTCTCCACACTAGGCGTAGTGTGTCGCGAAGTCTATTAGCACTGACCCACTTTTGACAGTTCAAGCTGTCAAACAGCGTTCGCGTTTCGAACGTNATTTAAAATTACTTGGTATTAAATGCTAGTTAATTGCCCACAGTTAGAAGATATTTCACCTAATATTGAATTATTTGCAAAGATACATACATATGTATCAAAAGCGTAAGCATTTGGTTTATCTCAACGAGGCTGCTAGGTGATTATACATCAATTTGAAGTTAGTTGCTACATAACTAGAAATAAGTTAGTTTTTCTGAGGTAATTGGTTGAGCTATGCCGTACTGGGTTACCATTCCGTTTTCGGCTATTAAAAAGTTGTAAAAAACGTCACTTGACAATTTACTTTGCAACGCGACATTAATTTGCATTTGAAAAATGAACGCACATACAATTTCAAATATACATATAAGCATTAGTTAATATAGTTACATATGTATTTTACAAAAGTATGCACATATAATACATACAAATGTTGCCTATTTATGTTTGTAGATGTTGGCCCCAACACCTCACCGCAACCTCTGAATGCTGAGCTACTTGAACGGCTTTACGCTGGCAAGCACTATTGCTGGTTCAGGGGCAACACTAGCGCCAATTGCAAAGATCATTGAGTAAATACTTTGTTTGTACATAGGGTACATGTGTGGGTACATGTGTGTGTAAACCTCAACTCAACGGCTGATGTCACAAATTTAATTTCGTGCGTTTAATTGAATTTCACTGGACACTGTGGAAAATGTAGAAATTGATTATTTTATGGTTATTGTTGTTACTCAAATGTTTTAAATGAGTAATAAATGAGGCAAGTGATGGGTGCTATATTTGTATATATGTCATGTGATATGTATTGAGAAGCGTTTATCCATAATTGAGGACGGATAAGAACTTCGTAAGGTTTGTGGGTGCGAATACATAAAATTTCTATGAAAATTTACTTTTTTATTAGTTTTAATTTTCGACCCCATCTCCACGAAGTGGTTGATTTTTGTGTTGAATTTAAAATTTCCAGTTTTTTTTTTTACTAAAGCAGTAAGGTACTGAAAGCAGAGTGGGTTTCTTCTAAAAACTCTTAGGTGACTCGTTTTGTATCCTATCTTGTGACTCCAGAAGTGCAAGCTGACATTCTAAATAGCCTTATAATTTTTTTTTTTTTTTTTTTTAAGAAAAGCGATTAGAAACTTGTCCGAACCTTGAATGAGATGATCGGATGCATTTTTTTTTAAATTTTTTGCCTGTTGAAAACTCTTCAAATTTATGAAAATCTGGTATGTAGATATTATTGATGGTGATTTTCTAAAGGAAAAAGTAATGCCTTTTCGCATTGCACAGCACCATCAGTTGCACTACACTCCGCCACTACAGCGACGTCAACCTCCACGTCATTGTCAACACTGGAGATCAACAGCAGACCGCACAGTAGCTCAAGGCTCAGCACAAACTCAACCGAGCCGGTCATCCTCATTGATGTCCATTTCATTTACTTTTATTACTGTTGACTTTGCTTCGAAGCGTCTTTTTATTAATTTTTGCTATGTTTTTAGCGCCTGCTTATGTACAGCTTGTTGATTTTGTTTTTATCATTTAAATAGAGGAAGCTTTATTCCATTCGTTCGCTTCTCGAGTGAAGTGCACTTGATGTCAGAATCTCTACGCTAAAATAACTACTGTGCGCATTTATTTATTTAAATATTTTTTTGGGATCCACGATTTCTGTGTATTTTAATAGTTTTTGTGTTTGTTGTTTTTGAGTTTTTGCACAATATTCATTGTCGGAATTGCTGTGAAGTGTGTTGGCGCACTTATGTTTTATCAACACAAAAAAGTGAAACCGAAGTGTGCGACCCTTTTTTCATTTTAAAAACGAATCTGTGATGTGTTTTTGTTTCTACTAAATTGAAGAAGAAAGGTAAGTGGCGAAAATGGGGAAATAATAAGTATTTATATGTACATATGTAAGTCAGCAGCAATTGCGGACTTTGATTTGGAAAAATATTCCAAATTCCATGAGTGAAATTTTTCAATGCGAATTTTTTGGTATGCATACATACATATGTATTTAGGGCGGGTAAATAATAATTTTTTTTGACTACGCGCGTATAGCATAGGAGGATTCTACGTGTAATTCTAAGCAAATTTACCGAAGAAACCGTTAGTATAAAATCAATTTGTTGTTTGCCAAATTGCGAAAATAGGCTTCGAAGAAAATGTGAAAATTTCCATTTTTGCCTCATCTGGTGGAAGTTTTAAGAAAAATATTAGTGCAGAAATGCATCAAGCCAAAGCATGAGTCTATTTTATTTCTGATTAACTGATTTGTTAAACTGGTAAGACATTGCAACCTTAAGGAGTTTTACCGAGTAAACAGACTGAACTAGAGAGTCGAATATGCGCAACCATGAAGAAATACCGATTTTTAATAAAGTGGCGCAATTTAT